GCCCCGCGCCTACCTGCCGAAGTGGGCGAACTAAGCCACTTTTCGCGATGGTAGAATTGAGCCCACCGTCGGAGTAGTCGAATTGAGCTCATCAGCCAAAGTGGTCAAACTAGCATGATGCAAACCGACTACCTTAGAAGAACACCATTACATTAGGGTACATGACATCTCTACTATAGAGTTGCCTAACACCCACGTTGTCATCTTCCTGAAGCATCATGGATAGACGCAGTACGGTACGAAATGTAATTTTATAGTTATTTAATTTTCCTTAGAAACAAAATCTTTCCTCTAGCTCTATTAACACATTCATCTTCTTTTTTCATATCTTCCTCTTCAGATAATACATTTCTGATGTTGTATGAACTCACGGACAGTGCGAGACCCTACGTCCTAAAAAGAATTGGATTTGGGTTGGGGTAAACTAGTCGAGTCGAGCTCGAGTCACCCTCAGCTTGAGTATGAACTTGATTAACTTCATCAATTTCGAGCTTATTTAAGCGGACTTATTTATTATATAAGAGAGAAAAATAATATTAATTTAAAGTGATCTTATAATAAATTTACAAATAAATCGAGTTGATTTATTTTCCACTTATAAAAACCCACCTCTGCACCACCCATCGCCACCAACAGCCATATTACCAGAGCATCCACCATGAGTTTCTTCCGCCATAACCACAAAAACGATGACCACCACCGGCAAGAGCCGCCGCGGCCTTCCCATCCACCACCATCATCTTACCCTCCTCAGTCTTCCTACCCTTCGCAGCCACTCTCATACCCTCCACAGTCGTCTTACCCTCCTCAATCATCCTACCCTCCGCAGCAGTCCTTCCCTCCGCAGCAGTCCTACCCTCCACAGCAGTCCTACCCTCCTCAATCCGGTTATCAGTCGCATCAGGGCTATCAACAGCAACCAGGTTATCAACCGCAGCCGGCGCACCAGCACCACCAGCACCACCAGCATCCCACCGGCCACTACCCCGGCGAGGTACACAACAACCCCACTGTTAGAGTCTACACCAAAGCCGAGGAAAACTACTCTCTCTCAATCCGCGAGGGCAACGTTGTTCTAGTTCCGGCGAATCCCCGTGACGACTACCAGGCACTCATTTTCTCTCAAACATCAAGCCGGCTCCTTTTTTTCATCCGATCTTTACTTTTTTCCATAAAAATCTCACCTTTCTGCATAAAAATCCAATTTTGCAGCACTGGTACAAAGATTTCCGCTGGGCGAACGAAGTGAAGGATGATGAAGGCCTTCCTGCTTTTGCGTTGGTTAATAAAGCTACTGGTTTGGCCATTAAACACTCTCTCGGCCCAAAACACCCTGTAAGATTTAATAATGATATATAATTCATCTTTGCTTTAGAGTAATTAGAGAGGAATTAAGAAGTGATTAATTTGTTTGATTAAGGTTCGTCTGATACCATTCAATCCGGAGTTCATGGATGAGTCGATTCTGTGGACGGAGAGCTACGATACAGGGGAAGGCTATCATTGCATCAGAATGGTGAATAATATAAGGCTTAACTTTGATGCCTTCCATGGCGATAAGGATCATGGTGGTGTTCATGATGGCACCACTGTTGTGCTGTGGGAGTGGCTTAAGGGGAAGAATCAGAGGTGGAAGATTGTTCCTTACTACTGTAAGTTTTCTAAAATGTTTTTAATGATTTATAGATCAGCTGATTGTTTCTTCAGTCTTTGAATTAATTTTTCTTTATATTTTACTGGTTTGGTTTTGCAGAGTGGGAAGATAGAAGTGTCTGCTATCAGTTTTATTACTGAATGTTCGAATAAGCTTTGTTTTCTGAGAGGAGTTGCATCTGCTAGCTGAAGTTTCACGAATCATTGGAAGGAGTTATGATGTCTGAGTCTGCAATTTTTTTTTTTAAATATGATCAGTCAGAGATGTTTTGTGTTTGATTAAACTTTATGCATTTTGAATGTTTTGTGGGTTTATGAGATTATCTTCCATAGAAGAAGATATTAATGTTGTTTTATGATTATGTTGTTTTTAATGCTCAAGTATTATCTTCCATAGAAGAAGATATTAATGTTGTTTTTAATGCTCAAGGTTCTACTATATTTAATAATGAATTTATAAGTCCTTCATGTTAACCAAATATTTTTATTCTTATTTAAACAATAGAACAAGTTATTGGCTCATTATCAAATTAATTTGAGTTGGAAAACATATTAAATCTTTTGCAATGACTCAAAAGATAGAACTCTTTCAGAGCCAATTTACATTATTCAGCATCTCTTTACAGCATGAACGACATGAAATAATATATCTTCAAAATATAAAAAGGTTTTTAAATTTTTTTATTTAAGCATATAATGAAGTCATTATCTCATAATTTTTTGAGTTAAATTTAATTAGGGGCCTTCTAGCCTGCTAAATTCAATAGCTATTTGATCCGGAATTCATATAAACCAAGAGAATAGAAAATGAGATTTCATTGCTTTTGTGCTTTTGCTTCCATTATTTTGAAGAAAAAAAAATGCAAGTAACATAGAGCTATAGGGATAACTATAAGACAACAAATATGTAGAGGATTATCTAGAAAAGTGGTTTTGGACATTTTCATCAATGATTATCTTAGACATGATCAATAAGGGAAAAATTAGTCAAATGTGAGTTTTATACTGTGCCATGCATGTGATTTGCAGGCTAATTAATTTGGCTATTTTTAAACAATTCTATGGCTATTACAAGGGATGCAAATGAACCATTGCACTCATTGGACAATTACTATGAAGCACCGGTGATACACATAAAAATATGTGTCTACCAAATAGTATACAAAATTAAGTTTGTGTATTGATCTTGCATGGATTGAGTGTATTCCTAAAGTTTGAAAGTTTCTGATTTTGAATCTAGCCTAAAGGTCCAAAATCTAGTGATTTTAAAGTTTCTAATCTTAATTTTTGAAATAAATAAAATCTATAACTAGTTTTGAGTTTGAACAAGCAATAGAAAACCTCTCTTGAATTCTTATGCTAACCATATCTATCTCAGTGACTCTAATAAAGTTTATAATCAGGAACAATACTTTTTTAGCATCTTTCGATATTTATAAGCTAATTTGAGTTTTATATTACACGTAGTCCTCTAATCATGCAAAAACTTTAGTGCTTGTAAGTTTGCCTACATGATTGAACAATCCTAATAGAAACATTTCTTCTCTCTTAGAGTAGTGTATGTTAACCTGAATGCTCCAATAGAATACTCTGACATTACTAGATCACAATCCATTTTAACATCCTAAGTGATTTGTTTTGGAATGAATTACAAGCAGAAGCTTAAACAATCAACTTTTAAATAAATTACATGCAATCGTATAACACATATACTTCACCAATTACAAAGAAATATCTAATTCAAGTGAGATAGAAGTTTAAGTCATATTTATTATGGTTGAACACAACATATATTTCATTGTAAAATCAAAGTTTAACAAAGTTAAAACAATATCACTTATAACAAAATTCTAAAGTTACACCATTTTGAGTACAAGAAAGAATACACACTCACCCTTACACTTAGTCTCACTCAGGAGAACACTCAGTCACACTCACAATTCACAACTCAACATTCCTTCTTTGAAATGGATATGCACTCTCCTCAATATTCCTCTTTTGAAATGCTCAGACTGCTCCAAGGTATTCTCCTTCTCCTTTCTAAAATCATCTCCTCTCTTTTGTTGGTTTGTATTAGACACTTTTTAACTTTCTTGGTGTGAGAGGAGGCGTCTGAACTTAAATCTGGCACTTACGAATGCTTAGGAGCCCAAACTTTGTGCCCGGGCCTCTGGATCCGAACACCTAGATGCATAGAGCCGATGTCTAGTTCTTTGGTTCCGGACGCCTTTGCACTAATCCTCTAGTTATGGGCACTTAGAACTGGTGTCTTAGTGTTGGTTCAACCCCTTTTGAGTCCTTTTGCTCCCCAAGATGCCTAATCATATTTACATTGCATATATAATCACAAATACCGTAGAAAAATATAAATATGACACAAATATTATAAAAATAATATAGAAATATTTTACACATTTGATTCATATCAATAATTTGAACTGATCTAAATTAATACTCGATAAGTTTGTTTAAATTAGTAAATAAATAAATTTTAATATTTTTTTGAAGAATTGAAAATTAAATGGATGTTCCAAACTTAAGCATGATTCAACTTAATTATTTTTGTTCATGAAAAAACTCATTTGTTGTTCAACAAATAAGAGGTTAAAAGTTATATAATTATATGATATATTATTTAAATGAAATTTAATTATCTGGAAGTTACTAGATTAAAATTAACTAATTCAAAATATGTACAATCAATCGAAAATCTAAACAAGCAAAGAACGAATATTCATGTGAAAGCTCGGCTCGAGTTTGAGCCGAATACGAAGAACTTCTAAAATGATCAAACCAAGTCAATCAATGGAATGCTAGGCTCAACTTGGTTTTGATTACATCCCTAGCTATTACTTAATAATGTGAGCATCAATTCCTCCCAAACTTTTTCATGTGAATCTATTCTTCTTTAATTTCTAAAAGATTAATATTACGATGTTTCAATCATATCAAAACATATGTAGGAAAATATATCATTTATTTTAATAAACTTAATATTAGTGATAACTTTATTGTTATTTAGAGATTTTGAGTGTAATATAAATAAAAATTTAGGTGTTAGATTTATAAATACTTAATTAAATGATACATATGTATGTTAATCTCAATCTTTGTATTATATATGATCATATTATAAATTTCCTTGAATCATATTATAATTATAGATTTGATTTTTGCGTTGCTCACAATGTAGAAACTAAGTCATAATTGGTGGATGCTATTTTTGTCATGATCAATAGTTTAAATGCCGATTATTTGTTTTGGAAGGGTCTTTTGTGATAATATTAATGAGTTTTAACTTGACGTGCCCCAAGTTTTTCAAAGATGGACATGTGATCTGCGCAATATTTGGTCAAATCATAATTTTCATTTAACCAAACAAATCAAACATATATATACATATACATATATAATAATCAAAATTAATGGTAATATTTATGAAATTGTACATTGTGATACACATATTGTACGAAAAAAATTTGTTGTACAATAATATACAACATCGCTGTATATGGAATCTGAATACAATCAGGCTCTATACATAATAATTTTTTCCATTATTGACATGTGAAAAAATTACTGTGAAAATACTTTCAAAGTTCCATTTTTCAGCTTATTTAAATGACCGAGAAGAAGATACATTATAGAAAACAAGATTTTCCACTCTATATCATGATTAAATAATTTATTTTTAATAATTGAATAAAGTATTAAGTGAGTGATATGATAAATTAAGCATTGTTTTAATTTTATAAAAAAATATCAAATGAAATATTATTTGCGACGGTAAAAAAACAATGGATTAATTTATTTTCGATGATGCAAAAATAAAAATTTTTAGTTAAATGATATTAGAAATTAAGGACAAGTTGGTTGACCATATAGAAAATACTGATTTCAATATAAAAGTGTTAGTTTAAAATATTATTTTCATTTATAAATTTTGAAAAAAAAAAAAACAAATAATACAAGTCTATTCTTATAAGGTGTCCAATTACGTATGCTCTTTTCCCAACTAAATTCTATTGCCAATTTGAAAATGAAACAAGAATAGAGCTCCCTCAAAAGCTCAAATTCCTCCCTTCCCACCTATAAAAATCCCACCTTTTCCCCATCTAGAGAAACCATAGCCATTAACAATTTAAAAACCATTAACCATGAGCCATCATCATCACCATGATCATCACCATCATGATGATCACCATGGTTGCCACCATGAATAAAAACCATTAACCATGAGCCATCATCATCACCATCATGATGATCACCATGACTGCCACCATGATGACCACCATGATCGCCACCACCACCATGAAGACCACCATCATCACCACCAACACGAACACCATCAAAACCACCCTTTTCCGCCGGCATCGTACCAGCCAGCGCAGCCATACCCCTACACCGATCCCCACCCTAACCGTTACAACGGTGACATAGCTCACAACACCACCTTCAGAATTTACAGCAGGGCTGAAGATAACTACTCTCTTTCCATCCGTGAACAAAACGTCGTCCTTGTTCCGACGAACCCCCGTGATGAATTTCAGGCACCTTATTATAACCCATCAAGCTCTCTGTTTTTTCGTCTTATCCTTTTTCCTATTCATCAAGATCTAATCTTCATGCTTAAAAATCCAATCTTGCAGCACTGGTACAAAGATTTCCGTTGGGGGAACGAGGTGAAGGATGAGGAAGGTCTCCCTGCTTTTGCACTTATTAATAAAGCTACTGGTTTGGCCATCAAGCACTCTCTTGGCGCAAAACACCCTGTAGGCTAATTTTTTTAGTTATTAATTCATCTTTATTTAAAACTAAAAACGAGTAACCACTAACTAGCTAAATATATATAATTGTTAAGGTTCGTCTGATACCATTCAATCCGGAATACATTGATGAATCGATTCTGTGGACTGAGAGCCATGATGTGGGAAAGGGTTATCGCAGCATTAGGATGGTGAACAACATAAGGCTTGGTTTTGACGCCTTTCATGGAGATAAGGATCATGGTGGTGTTCATGATGGCACCATTGTTGTGCTGTGGGAGTTTCTCAAGGGGAAGAATCAGAGCTGGAAGATTGTTCCTTTCTACTGTAAGTATTCTTATATGTATCTTCTTAACGCTTGTAAGATTTTAGCGCTTGTTTTATCAGTTCTTGATTTTTGCTGTTGTTGCAGAGAGGGAAGGTATACTTTTCTGTCGCCAGTGCTCAGTAATGCATGCTGGAATGAGCGTGAGGAGTTGCATCTGTTGCTGTTTAATGAAGCTTTGCAGGGATTTGTGTTTGTGTTTAATTTTCATTTTCGTCTTTGAGTTTATGTTTCATGTTATGTGAGTTTATGATTCTGAATCTATTATGTTGTTTTTAAATTCTCTGTTAATTTAATTATGCTTTGGTTGAGTTCCAAGTAAATTTCTTAGTTATATTATTTGAAGTATAGGTATAATGAAAAATATGAATCAAATAACTATATAAATACCTTTAAATTTAAATTTAATAATATAAATATATTATGAGTGTGAATTATTTGGTCAAAGCTAAAAAACGAATTAAAACAATCATATTTTTTATTTATCTGTCTCAATTTTAAAATAAAATTCTAATTTTAAAGAATTTAAATATTTAGTTTTGAATTTATGGATTGGTTTTGATCATCATTAAATTAAAATAAATTAAAATAAATGATATCAAGTTTGAAAGATTAAATTCACTTGAATTAGTCAATTACTAACTTCACATGGCATGTTTTTGCTATTACATTAATCTTCGGGTCTTTTAAGAGAGGGAGAAATGAAGATAAAAACCACTCTAAAAAAGGAACAATAATTTTTAATAATTTTAGAGCTAATACTAAATTTCAGTTTGCTCAAAGTTAAACTGATTGAGGGTCTGTTTGGGGCAGCTGAAGCTTATTAAAAAGCAGTCTGAAGCTGTTAAATAATAATCTGATGCTTAAAAAACCGCAGTGGCCTTTACAATTTTTTTTTAATTAAAGTCAAACAGTTACTAGAAAGTTGTCACCGCACCTAGCTAAGAGAAGTGAGAAAATGCAGATTTCAGGCAATTTTTTTAAGACATTGTCAAAATCTAGTTTACCCAAACAAAACCATGCTATGGTCAGCAGAACCATGCTAAGTTGACTATTATTTCATTTTGGTTTTGATCGATTTGGGAAGCATTTAGCCAACTTGAAATTTTAGAATTTGGAAGTCGATTTCACCAAAATGTAAACCAATCCTTTCAAATAAATCCATCGCACGCCCTGAATCAATCGCACAAGGACTTTGAAATTCGTATACAGGAATCTTGAATAGACCCGGTCCACCCATGTGCTTTCGATTCGGTTTTTGGTAATGTTCGATCATCCATCAAGTGTTCGACGTGTAAATAATAATTTGTTTGCTAGTTGGATCCAAAATATAAATTTATGTGTATTATTCATATATTAAAATTTAGGGCCATTTACGTGTCTCATATGAATATATATTAGCTGTAGCTCACAATTAATGTTAGTTATTATAGCTTATGGTTGAAATTTTATACCATCAAGAATATATAATTTGCTGCTTATAGTGACAGTATATGTTCAATACAACACTTTGAAGGAAGAGTGGAGTCAGATTTCTCGTATGTTGCCTAAAATTGGGAGCGGGGTGTGTCGAATAAGGTCCTGGAGGTCAGAGGGGCCCTGGTGCACTTCATCCAACCGGTAGTGCAAGAGGGGCTTTTCTTAAGTTCTTTAGAGATTATGGTAAGTTTTGTTATGCAATAATATGTTCACGGTAACTTGATGAAAAGATTGCCACATGTGCGAGAGATGACTTGTAAATGAGAATGTGTCCTATGTCAATTCTTGATTACAATATTGGCTTTTATGTTCTTATAGTTACGAAGATTGTCAAGGTGGCGAACTTAGCGAGTGAATCTGAATTGTTAATTTCTCATACGGAATGGATAGACCAATTTGACCTACAAGTTTGCCAATGTACTTTCGCAGGTCAACCTGACATATCAGTGAGTTAAGTTATAGATCACGCTGAAGAGAAAATATTGCATCCGAACACCGCATGTTTAGACAACCAAATAACAACCACTATGTCGTCATACACCTCATTGATGTGTGATGTAGTAGCTGATAGTTAGTCGTTCGGACTTACAAATATAATATTTCTTCCACCCTGGCTGGCCATTTCTGAAGAAAAACGTGTATTCTGGTTGGTTGGGTTAAGCTAAACTGACAACTAACTAAACCCGTCAACTGGAAAGCCCACTCCCTTAATTAAAACAGGCCTTCTCTTTCCTCAATATGTGTGAACATACTTATATTACATTTTTGGGACATTTAAATAAATAACACTATAATTCTGATGTACTTATGAATATAATACCTAAACTATATTTGTATTTATTACACTCGAAACTTTAAAAGACATCAGAAATGCTACTACTTTTAATTTTTAAAAGTGAAACACATCTTTTCTGTTGAGAAATTAGGGCGAAGAAAAATATGAATCGGCGCAAATCCAGAAGAACACAGAGGTTTAACGAGGTTCGGCGAAAATGCCTACGTTTTCGAGAGCTGAGCGGCAAATTCATTTTAATATTCAGAAAAGATATTACAGAATTTGGAATAACACCTAGAGTAATATATAGACTTATTTATAACCCTAGAAAACTCTGGTGTACAATATGTAATTACCAAATTACCCTTGTACCACACCCCCAACCCACATAAGAAAACTCCCCTGACTTGGACAGAATTTTCCGCTCCGCTCCGCTCCTGTATGAAGTAAATCATTCTCTGTTAGGTGTTATGTGATAGGAGCATCCTGAATCAAGAATTCATGCATTTTTCAACTGAGTTGATGAAACTGAAAGCATATCGTCATCATTATAATCTGAATTGTCACTCTGCACCACATTTGCAGACTTCGATGATTCATCACCTTTCTCCGCAGTCTGCTTCTTCAGCTTTGAACAATTTCTCTTCATATGACCTGACTCCTTGCAATTGTAGCAATGAATTGTCTTTTTGCCTCTGAACTTTGATTTGGAATTTCATCTTTCAGAACCCTCCTTTTTTTTCTTTCTTCCATGATTATGCTTACCCTTAACATATAAATCGTCACCATGAGAGTTTTCCCCTGCATTCTGCTTCTGCTGGTTGTGAGCCAATAATGCTACAGTGATCTCATTAACTTTGATAGTTTATTTCTCATATGTAAGAGTAGTCACTAGGTGTTCATAGAAAGAGGGCAATGAACACAACAAAATCATCGCTCAATCTTCATCCTCAATACTCACATCAAGCCGTGACAGGTTTGTGATTATTTAATTGAAGCCATTAACATGTTGCGCCAGATCAGAACATTTTTGCATCTTCAGCCCATACAATTTTTGCTTCAGATACAATTTATTCATCTGAGATTTAGCCATAAACTGAGTTTCCAATTTCTTTCAAATCTCCCTTGGAGATTTTAAATTCATCACGTGATACATAACTTCATTTGTCACGCATATGCGTATAGTTGTTGTCGCTCGTTGTTGTCATTCTTCCTAATCTTCATCTTTCATGGCATTTGGTTTTGCTGCCCGCAAAGCTTTCAAGATTCCCTATTGAGTCAACAGATTTTTTACTCTTATTTGCCCCAATCCGAAGTTATCAGTTCCGTTGAACTTCACCACCTCGAATTTTGCACCAGAAAATGTCATTTGAAAATAACTCTTGCAACAAATAATAATGTCATTTGAAAATAACTCTTGCAACAAATTATTTTTGCAAATTCCTGTACAAATCCTTGCTCAAAATCCTTTCAAAAAGAAAAAAAAAAGGACTGAAAAAAATTTCCCTTAATTAAGCTTTTCAAAAAAGCAAAAAGTTTTTTTTTTTGAAAAGAAAAGATTGAAATATTTTGTAAATAAGCTTCCTTAATTAAGTCCCCATTAATTAAAATATTTCCTTTTAATTAATGAATTTGAAAAACTTTCCTTTCTTCATCCTCCTCCAGCGAAGGAATGAAATCAGAGCCAATTTTCTTGCGCTTTCAGGAAATCGCCTGCTGTCACGGAAGAAGCTCTGGAGTTCAAATAGTTTGCATGTTTGCTGTGAAGCGAAACTGTCGCAAACAGGAGCCCTCGTTTCTTCTGTTCACAAGATCTCGCCTGGTCTCCGATCGTCTACGAACTCCTGGCGCGATGCAAGCCAACCGAAGTAGTGCCACAATCGCCAAGACTCGTCTCCGAACTTCTTGCAATCCATCGCCGAACCCAAATTGATCGCGAATCCTTCTTCTCGCTGAAGCCCTGATCGTCGAACTTCTTTCTCAAATCTTCTTTTTCCTGCACCGATATTTTTCTTCCCTACCCTCGAACCTCGCTCTGATACCACTTGTTGAGAAATTAGGGCGAAGAAAAATATGAATTGACACAAATCCAGAAGAACACAAAGGTTTAACGAGGTTCGGCGAAGATGCCTACGTCCTCGGAAGCAAAGCGGCGAATTCCTTTCAATATTCAGAAAATGAATTATAGAATTTGGGATAACACCTAGGGTTACATACAGACATATTTATGACCCTAGAAAACCTTGTAGTACAATATATAATTACCAAATTACCCATGTACCACATCCCAACCCACATAAGTAAACTCCCTTGATTTGGACAGAATCTTCCGCTCCGCTTTGCTCCGCTCTAAAGCCATATCTAACATTTTTATATGTATATCTTCCTCCTAAAAATTATATTATTGGTGAGTTTATACAACCTAATAAATACCTTATTTTTAGGATATTGATATGGATGCATATAATGGATATGTTTCTAGAGCTCATGTTTCTCGCTCTATATTTTCTCTTGATTCCCTTATAGTTGGGAATGACTTAAAAAAGGATCTCTGCTTCACAATAGAGAGAAAGAGGGGGAGATTATGACGTCATTTTTTTCCTCAATCCCCTTTTGTTACATTACATATAATATTGTGTCTGTCTGCTGTGTATAGATGAAAAGATTGAGCTGTGGGTGTCTAATAGCATCATAAATAAAGACTGATGCATGTATTGATGAAATTTCTTCAGCGTCTCATTTGCCCCGAACTAGCTTGGTAACTTCATTAGGTGGATTTGGCTCGATCTTTTCAGAAGACGTGCTTGACTTGATCGCTCATAAATAAAGACAAACTCATTTAACTTGAAGTACTGATGCTTTTTTTATTCGATGCCTAGTTTGCCCCAGATTAGCTTAGCCACTTTGGCATGTGGGTTCAGCCGATTTATTTTGATAGGAGTGCTTGACTCAACAATTTTTTTTTATTTTATTAGTAACAAATCCATCTCAAATATTTTATTATGTAAAAATAAATTATAAATAAATAAAACAAATCCAATTAAAGATAAAAAAAATAAATTTATATTTCACATCACATGCATAGAACTTATGAATATTAGGGTTTTAAAGATGATAATGAGACTGTTAGGTTTAGTAGATGAAATTGGCATCAAAGGGTCATGGAAGATGGCAGGTAAAGATATGATAATATGGTCAAAAGTTGTTCACTTACTCCAAATAAATAAGATAAGATTAATGGAGATGATGTTATACATCGAATTTTAATTCATAATTTTTATTTCAAAATCAGTAAGCATTTTGCTTGTGTTTAAGCTTCTTTTATTAATTATTTTATTACATATATAATAAAAAAAAGCTTGAATCTCTATGGCTATAAAAAAAAGCTTGTTGCGCATGAACAACTTATGTTCGGCGTTGAGTAAACGAGTCGAACACAAAAAATCTTTGTTTAATCATGTTCGGTTCGTTTTAGCTCGAAATATAAAAATTATATATATCATTTATATAATATTATTTTATATAAATATTTATATCTCTTAAAAGTTGTAATATCCTGCTTGGTCATGTGGTTTTATCCCTTTTATTGTATAAAAATGGTGCTTGTTCAAATCCAAGATCATACTTTTATTTTTCTAATTAATTTTAATGAGCTAGTTTAGAGTCGACCAAGAATAAAAATATGTAAATCGAGACAAACAAAAGCACATCGTTCAAGAGCAATTTCAAAAAATGAGTCAATTACAAATATAGTTATTTTTGAACTAGCAGAACACGGGTCAAACTTGAGCTCACTCAAACTCGATTTGCTTATAACCTTACGTACCACTCAATTCCCATGAATTGACATATACATAAAAATTGAAGTTTGGATGATTGATAAATTCATGAATATGAATTTTTATATATGTTTTTGGAATAAGTAAAAATTGAAAATTTATACTATTAATATGTTAATAGATTTCTAATTTGGTGGTAGGCATGTAAATCTCCTTTTATCTTCTAAAGTTGACGAAAAAAAATCCATGAATTTTCGAATTTAAGTAACGTTATCTTCTGACCACTATGATCTTTTTTGTTTTCTGTCGGCAATCGTGTGGCATAATCTTACACGTGCGACGATGATTCATCGCTCATCAAAACATAAAAATGGAATTTTTACTTCTTCTCAAATACGTTTTTTCAATTTACAAATAAGTCAAATTTTACTATTTATATATTATTCAATATGGTCCACTTAATAAAAATATTATCTTAAGATCTTATGCGATCATGCGGCGACACATGCGCTCGTACACGCTGAGCGCGTGTGCGAAGAGCATCTGAGAGAAGTCAGAAAACATCATTATTTGTTAGTGTCAATTAATAATTGGTTGCGATATTATTCAATTATTATATAGATTACCTTATTTTACTTGTTAAGACTATCGATAACAATTACTTGGATTTGACCATTGTGTGAGATGATATTGTTTTTGGCAATTCTGATCAAGATCAGACTTTTATAAATAAATAAAAATTTATAATACTTATTACATCTAATTTATCAACAAATTATTTTTAAGCAGCTTATCAATAAACTGTAGCTGTTAGCTGCTCCAAACAGACTCTAAAATAGATTACCTTATTTTACTTGTTAAGACTATCGATAGCAATTACTTGGATTTGACCATTGTGTATGATGATATTGTGTTTAGCAAATTATTTTTAAGCAGCCTACTAATAAACTGTAGCTGTTAGCTGCTCCAAACAGATCCTAAGGTTTATGATTATTTAAAGTATTTGGCAAAATTGAGCTTCATCTGTTTTATTTTTTAAACTATAGTAATAGATCGCGTTATGCAATTTGATCCAATTAAATGTGATGGCTATTCTAAATCTATAATCTAATTTTTTTAAATAAAGTTAATTTATATAATCACTGTAGCTTTTTTAACATTAATTTATTCTACGATAGTTTTATAATTATTTCTTTAATTAAAAATAAATAATGTAAATGCATAAGAATTGTTATTTATGTAAATTCGCCTAATTAAAATAATAAAGCCAAAATTTAACAAAAATAGATAATCTCGTAGAAAAATGATATTTTTTGCGCTTCGTCTTTGCATTTAAAACTCGTCCCACTGGCTCTGTACGGTGTCATCTCGTCACTTTTGCCAACCCTCGATAATGGAGTTTCCTTTCGGCCACAACCACCACCACCACGAGCACCATACCCCCCCCCCCCCCCCCCACCCCCGCCGCGACGACGACGAAGATGAAAGAAACCGCTTTCCTCCTCATTTCCCTTTTCCAGCAGACGGTCCCGAACCCTTCGAACCTCCTCCCGGCGTCCACCACGTTTTCCATCAACCCGGGGCTGGATTCGCTCCTCCGCCGACGTTTTCTGAACCTCCGCCACCACCATTCTTCGATGGCCCGCCACCACCTCGCCCTTCTCCCTTCGTCGACGATCCTTTTCATGACTCTCGTCACGAGAGGCCATACGGACGGGAGGAGGGACACCACCGCTCGGGATACTCCGATCATGCGAGCCATGAGGGGGAGGGTGGATCTCTCAATCGGCAGCCGACTGTGAGAGTGTTCACCAAGGCGGAGGAGAATTACTCGCTCTCGATTCGTGATGGAAAGGTTATTCTCGCGAGGCAGGATCCCAGCGATGAGTATCAGGCAAGGGTTTCAGGATCCTCTTTAATCCTGAACGAAACGTGATTACTGTTTTTCTTAACTCTTCTCCGATTATTTCGGTTTTGGCTCTTTTGCCTGTTGTTGATTTTATTAGTGATTTTTTCTAGTTCTTGATTCCGTGGTGATCGAGTGGTCTGCCTTCGTGGATTTTGGATCTTTTCTCCTTCGTCTCTACTTCTTAAATAGATTTTTGTGGCCGATGATGAATCATTAAAGCCCGTTGATCAGATTATGTTGCGCTTTGATATCATCTTTGTTTACTTCTTTGGGATATTTATACTTCCATGTCTCATGTTCATTGTGTTCAGCACTGGATTAAAGATCTGAGATACAGCACAAAAGTGAAGGATGAAGAGAGCTTCCCTGCTTTTGTTCTCATCAACAAGGCTACTGGTGAAGCTATCAAGCACTCCTTTGGAGCAACTCACCCAGTAAGCTTAATATCCCCCTTATAACTTACTGGTATCTTTGGAACTCTTTGGATAGTCGATAAGCTCATATTTTACATTCCATCTTCTGAAGAATCCATAATTCATACTCTGGTTAAAAGAATATATAAGATTACTGGGATTTGTTGCATTTTTAATAGATTTATTAGGCTCTGTGCAACCTAGTAATCCGGCAAACCAAGTAAGAGTTAAGAGGGTTTGGGACAAGAAGAATAATGCTTCATTATGCTGCAACCATGGTGGATTCATAAGGTTTTAAAAATCAACCGAGTAACATGTAGTTTTTAAGGGGCTTTTACATACATGCCTCCCAATTCTCATGTGTTTGCATATCAAACATCTACACACTACTTTTTAGATTTATTCCTCCCAAATCTTCCACATCACATTTTTTTTGGTGTCCTGAACCTTTACATGAAAAGTGTATTTTGCATTTTTACAATTATTTTGGTGTCCTGAACTTTTAAAGATTTGCACGCTATGCATGCAAATATGAAAATTTAAGTGTTAAATATGTAAATACAATAGAATTGTATGGTATTTATGTAAATACCCCTTGAACTTATTGGTGGCCATGTCCCAAGCTCATTGTCATTTGGTTTGATCTCGATGCTAATCATGGTGAATAAGGTTTGATATCTTAATTATCAAATTTTCTTAGCTATATACAAAAGTTTAAATCTTTAGGGCAAGCTTATGAAAAATGGAATAATGCTTCATTCTCCACAATTGATCTATAAAGATTTCCATACAAAATTTCCCAAAAAAGGGATTCATTTTTCTGATTTTTTTTTCCACATGAATCTCTCTCTCTCTCTTATTTTTTTGTTTTTGCAACATAAAGCAATGCATACTTGCATATGTACCCCTACATATGAAGCACTAAGGTAATAAACTAGTTATGATCTGGACTTTTTTTATCTTTCTTATATTCGTTCTTTGTTTGTGTTTCTGCCAGGTCCAGTTGGTTCCCTACAATCCCAATTTCCTCGACGAATCGGTTCTTTGGACCGAGAGCAGGGATCTAGGTGATGGATTCCGGTGCATAAGAATGGTGAACAACATTAGTTTGAATTTTGATGCATTTAATGGTGATGAGCAGCATGGAGGAGTTCATGATGGAACCATTATTGTGCTCTGGGAGTGGCTTAAGGGCAAGAATCAGAGGTGGAAGATTGTTCCTTACTAATGTAAGTATTTTAGTTGTTTCAAAAAAATACCTCAATTTTTTATTTTTATTCTTCTGTATATGACTCACACTAAAAAAAATCTAAATTTGGATTGACCGAATAATTTTTGGGTCGGATTCGGTTTCAAGGTGACCAGTAAACTCAAAATTGACCCGCATTCTAATCTGAGGTGGACTCAAAATTAACCCAAATAGATATGTTAAACAGTTTATACGGGTCATGTCAGATCAGCAGGTTGATGCAGGTTGGGTTCTTGTTGAATATCTTGATAATCTTTGGGTTGGGTCAAACAATTTTGGTCGGATCTATTTCAGTTAACCCAAATTAAACTATTTTTGTAAGTTAAATTATACCATTTATCTGTGTTTATTTTTGTTAATGCAGGAATGTATTTGAAGGCAGTTTGCTCAGTGTGTGTGTGTTATGAGGTATTTTTAGCTTCACTTTTTTTTGTGTGTTTGCTGAATAAAATTTGCAGTGGAGTTTGTTCCCTGCATTTGTATCTGTTGTGACTTCTATGTTTGCTGAACTTTATTATGATTGTACAATAAAAATATTATTATGTGTCGTTTTGAAAAATGATGTTCATCAGTGTCATATGATTTTTCTCCTCCTGCACCTCATGGAAAAACGTTTTTCTCATTTATGAAGCCAACGCCTCTTCACATGCACACGCCTGTCATGCGATACTATTATATAAGATAACCTGATAATATTTAATAAGAGTTTGATTCTATGTAAAAACATTTGCATACATCACTTTTTTTTATCTTTATTAACATTCATATTTACATGCATTGACATAAAATAAAAAATATTATCATAATTATCCTTTTTTTAGTGAAATATACCAATATCAAATTTTGGGTGTTTTATACATTTAATAGCATTAATTTCAATGTTATGCTGTTATAACATTACAACATTATATTATTATGCATATGCAATGTTATTTGTTATGCATATGCATTTCTCTTAAAGGGATTAGATATTCGCCAAGGTGGAGATTTGTTAGGTATGGCTCATAATACCAGAATTTGGAGTTTCTTGGAATGAAGAGGTGTCTCTTGGAATTGAAGAGTTGTGTCTTTTGGAATTTAGTGGGTTTGAGGGATCAGCGAGAGTGCAGCGGAAGCATGGTGGCCCAATCCACACTGTTGCATAAGAAATTCCATGATTTATTATCTCTTAAAGGGCTAAATATTCTTCAAGGTGGAGCTTTGTTCGACATTTGTATTTCTCGTAAGTGGTTGGATATTTGTCAAGGTGAAGATTTGTTATGCATATGTATTTCTCTTAAGGGGCTAGATATTTGTCAAGGTGGAGATTTGTTAGATATGACTCATATACCATAAATAGGACATATGCTCGAGCGGAGCGGTGCCTACGAGCGGAGAGGAGCGAAAGGATTTGTCCAATCGAGGGAGTTTCATTATGTGCGTTGGGGGTGTTGGGGCAACACCTCGCGGTTTGGTACAAGGGTAATTTAAGTAATTATATATTGTACTATATGGTTATATGTATGTCCTGTTTGAAACCCTAGAATATTGTACTATATGGTTATATATATGTCATGTTTGAAACCCTAGGCGAGTTTCTGAGATTCCGAGATTCTATTTTGTATGTTGTACTCTTTTTTTTATATTAGTGAAAAAGCCGCTGCTCTGCTCCCGATGATGTAGGCATTTTTGCCGAACCACGTAAATTTTTGTATGTTCTTCTAGATTTGTATCGATTCCTATTTTTCTTCGTCCTAATTTCTCAACAATTAATATTATTTTTTGTTTATTATAACAAAAATTTTGTTCAAATTAGATTCCAAACAAGATTCAAACCAAATTCAAATTCAAATTAGATTGAGCTAATTTTAAATGAATTTAGTCTAACGAGCAACCTATCAAAACAAAAGATTTCATCTCCTTAAAAATAATTTCTTTCATAATGAGCTTTCAACCAATTTTTTTAATCGATATTGTTGCTTCTACAATGCCTTCCTAATGAAATCTTCTTTCTCCTTCGCACCGCATTAATCTTACAATGCCTTGACCACAAACAAACTCCACTATTTTTTTGCTATTCATCCTACAAAACCTTCCCCCATGAGCTCTATCTCACTAGTTGCATGATCCCTTCTCCACAAATTAATACATAATCTTTACAATTCAAACAAGTTAATTCAAATCAGGTTTAAACTTGTTTTGAATTATGCTCCAACCAAGGTTTAGATCAGTCTTGAATTCAAACTGATTCGAATCAAATTCAAATGACTTAATCATATGAGCCATCAACTAATGCAAGATGTTCTCTCATTAGAGGTTAAGGTAATTTCATTGAAGATGAATTTTCAAGTTCATTTCTTCAATAAAATAATTAATATGAACATTTCGCCAGTTATTTATATTATGAGGTATATAAATTCAAATTTTTCTACTCTTCATCTACTACCAAAACAATGGACTTATTTGTCTATATTGGATATAGATAGTCTTTTTAACATACACAATGGACTTCAATGAACTTTCATGAGAAATATGCATTAACAAAAAAATAGATGAACAAACCCTTTTCAACAATATTTATTGTTTTTCTTCAGGGCTATTTGATGGAGGAAAACTCAAACCCTAACATTGAAAGTTGGGTTAAGATGAGGATGAAATCCTAACTTATTGAAATGTGCGTCTTCCTTTAACTCTAAAAAAAAGAGAAAGAAATATTTAAACCTGAATCTAAGAATACTTCAGCCCCTTCTGCCCTCTCATCCAACAAATAAATAAATAAAGAAATAAAATCCGCATATTACCGCCAGAAAGCTTCCAACCATCAATGGTCCTTCTATTCACTAGAACCTCTCTCCTTCATGTTTCCCTCTACCCTTCAATGCCCCATTCACCTAGCTCTCCTCACCTTCTACATCATCATCCTTGACTCCTCCCAACATAGCTCCCCATCCTACCTCTCAACTCATGCTCACCTCACACGACCCTAGTAGAGTTGCCAATATTTATGGGCTTCAAATATTTGTGTCCAAAATAAATGAGAGTTTTACATTGAGGTTATAGGTAAAATTTTAAAAAATCATATTATTTCGCAAATAAGGCACTACATAAAAAATTAATCCTTATTTTGTAATGACATTCAGATACATTAAAAAATTAATCCTTATTTAAGTTGCACATACATATGTAATTTTTTTATTATACTTCAATAGTTTTAATCAATAAACTTGCTATCAATTTTAATTTATTAATTAAATTTCAATTATATATTATTAATGTTATAAAATACTTTATAACTTTAAAAGTATATAATTACATGTATCCAATCAAAATAAATCAGAAATAATATTAATATATTTAACTAATGATTTAGTTAATTAATATTGTTTATGTAAATTAATTTAACATACATACCACCCATTTCTATTTATTTACACATCAAAATCTATTGTTTACTTATTTTATTTAAACAACCAAAATCACATCAAATTAAAAAAAAAAATGAAACATATTTTTTCATGCATAAGAAATATGGCATAGCTGTAAGAATCAAAATTTAAGTGTTTGATATGTAAATAATGAGAATTAAGTGGTATTTATGTAAAACAAAACCCTCGCCTTTCTTCCCCCAATTCCCGAAACGCTGTCGGCAAGAAAAGTCAGGAGTCGCGACGGAAGCTCACCGGAGAGGGCATCGACGGTAACAGCGGCACTAGAACAAGAAGAGGTGTTCTTGAGGCTTGTAGATTTTGTAAATCTGGCCAATGTCAGAGTTTTCTAAATCCGGAGCAAAACGGAGGAGATTAAAATGCTCTTTTTGATCGTTTGTCAGGATTTGCGCTAAATCCTGCTACCAAACAGCCCGAAAGAGTTAAATTTTGATGATGGTTTAAATTTTGATGATGGAGAGCTTTCCCGCCTACTTACAGCGAGATCCTCTGCTTCTTTGGCAGTCAAATCTTACTATGCAACAACCGCCGCCTCCGTCGCAGCTGCCGCCGACTTTCTCCGACACAAAAGAAGCACCAGAAGGGACGGTCGCTACCCTTCTGGTTCGGCATTTACCTGAGGGGATTTCTGATGACATGCTTTCTCGCTTGTTCTCTCACTATGGAGCTTCCTCAGTTCGTCCCTGTGGAGGTGGGAGGTAAAAGCTTTCGCTTACTCTTTTATCCATTTGTTGCTTCTCTTTTTTAATGAAGTGTAAAGTCTGGTGCGAAGCATTTTTATAAAGCTAATAATTTGAGGTTTGGAGACAAGAATTTGAGCATATGATTTTGAATTGAACATTGCAATTCTTTCTTAATGAATCTACAGTTAAAAAGGGAGACATGTTAACTAACTCTAAAAGGGCCTAGTTGATTTATCAAATCTTTTTTCTTCTATTCCTGTTGGATTTAATAAATCCTGATAGGTTTTTTGTTTGTCCAACTCTTAAATTTTGTCAAATCTCTTGTTTGGTTGTCCAATTTCGTAACCAATGTCATAAGATTCACTTGTATTATGCATAGATTACCTTGAATAATGGGTTGATTATTGTCCCCAACATTGGTAATCAATAGTAAGGATTTATAAGGGAACAAATAAAATGTTATCTATTTTAACCAAGTATACAATGAATGGGTCATAAATGTGGGCCAAACTTTTGCTGTGATTCCATGACATGATACATAAGCCTAAAATCACTCTCCAATCAATGCTTTTGAGTTAGGAATCGTCATCTACCTCAAGTTCTTCTAAGTTTGGTTTCGTCTTATCTCTCACTAGGACTATTGAAATATATATAGTTGCCATTATATGGTGTTTTTAAGTTATGTAAGATCATACAATCGATGACAAATATTTTTCAGACCTGCATTGGAATTTATCCTTAAAGTTTTAGTTCCAAATATTTATTCTTCTAGATTCTAAATGTACCCCCAACAATTTTTGCCTTTAATGATTTTCTCTAAGATGGCAATGGTAGCCTTGCAGTATGTGTAGAAAGTTCTTTATGCTTTTTATATGGGGTGACATGGAATATTTCATGAGGCAGCCACTTGAATTCATCAGCCATTGAAGCAATGCCTTGAAGAGCATGGTAAAATTGATGACTAATGGTTTCCAAAGAGTTCTGAAAGAGCTCCCAAATTCGATAGTAGTTGTTAGCTTGGGATACTCCTCTCATCAGGACAACCAATTTTTCAACTACAATCATATTTTTTGTGTTTAACTGAAGAACTTGGTGTACTAACATATCTCCAAGTTAAATAAAAGCCACAGATGGCACGAGGAAACACTATTATGATATTGTTGGATGGTCTACAAGGACATGATCTACATAATGTTTGCCGGAGATTAAAGATGGGGAAGATCTATGGTCAAATGAAATTCTACTCATTATCAAATCATTGAGCAAGCCTTCATTTTCTTCACACTCCTCTATGACATTGCATTAAGTACAACGGAATACGTTTCTAATGACATTTTCCATATGTATTCATGACTATATATTGTCAGTTATTCTTATTAAAATCATACATAAAAGAATGCATCATCCAACAATAAACCCTACAAGAAATGGGCTGTCATGCTATACTTTTTCTTCAATTAAATGTTTAACCTGTGATGTTGCAATGGTGGCCTGTGCTATTGAGATGCATGTTTAAGATTTTCATTTGCTATACTATTATTGCACATTTTTCAAGCGCGCCATGCCATATTCATGGAATGGATTTCGGAAATTAAGTGTCACAAACAACTTAGGAAATAACTTGAATTGTATCAATACTACACATCCTTTCAAGCTCATCATATTTATTTACAATATTATCACTACACTTCATATTTTCATTTGAAGTCTCACATTGTTGTATCATGTAAATCTATGTGTATCTCTTTTAAAATCTTTTTCACTAGTAAATTCATAGCCACTTAGGCACCCAATTTATTTTTGATCATTGTTATTTAACTCAAACAAATCAGGAGGACTAAACTATTTTTAGTTCTGATTGGTCATTGGTTGTCATTCTCTCTTATTTTGTGATTTTGTGAAATGAACTTATCATTTATTTTCTCCTTCCAACTTGCATCTTAAAAACTAGAGCAACAAACATATTCATATTCACTAGAGTGAGGAGTGGCCATCCAAAATGGTAGGAGAGCGACTCAACAATAAAAAGGCAATAATTTTTATAACATATTGCCATGGAGAGAAACTCAGAATTTTACAAGAATAAAAAGAACTTTTGTTATTTGATCAAACGAAACTATCATTGACAATGAAAAGCTCTTTCATGTGCTTAATAACAATGCCATAATGTAGTTGTAACTAGCAAACAATGCTTTATTTTATTAGCCATCTATATGAACTCCTTCACCATATTTCATGAAAAATTCAACTAGGTAAATAAATCTAACAAGTTCTTGAAAAGAAATCGACAAATTTTATTGATATTGCTAAGTGGCTTTTTTTCAAAATATTTAAAAATAAAAAAAAATGTACTTGATATATCATAAAAATATGAATTATGGTTTCTTGAAATTCCACCAAAATCACTCAAACCAACAAATGACATCATAGGTTGAATATCAACAAGGCAAAAAATCATAAGATCCAAAACTAAGAGCGAAGAGAAAAAAAATGAAGTGGTTTGCCAAGGGTATCAAGCGTGCCAGGAAGGTATTGAGTAGGTCAAAGTATTGAGCTAGCCGAATTGAGCAAGCCGAGGGTTTCAACAAAGAGATAAGGAGATGCAAGGAGAGGACTAGTGCAAGGATGACAAAAGAACTTACGAGGAGAAAGGGGCAAGCACAAAGAGGAGCAAGCCGAGATGGAGCTTAATAAGGATGATGAGATTGCTTAAATCTTGTAATTATAGTTTCACAAAGATTTGATACATCTATGTTTTCTTCTAGGATTTGATGAATCCAAATAAGCTTGGATTGATTTTGCTATCAAATTATAGGTCATTGTAAACTGATTGGAAAGCCTTCATCCAAATCTTACATAAATCTCGCTTTAATGGTGCAACCAAAGAACTCCTAAGAGTTCTTATAATGATATGTCAGGGGGCTATTTGGTTGTTGATTCCATGTTGGATTTATGGTGGATTTAAAGTAAATTCTCCGATCTTCTTATAGAGGGATTTCTAAATCCCTCATAAAGTAAACCATATATTTAACAAAATCGTGAAAATGTGGCTCAAGTCCAAGATTCATGAGGTCATAGTAAGGCTGAGATTCAAGAATTTGCGGGTCAAATAATTCCACCGCCAGAATTTACTAATTCCTTGAATATAATTTATCAAATTTGAGATTTATTAATGTTATGTTCAGCTAAACATGATATGACTTATAAATCTTTTAATATTTTTATATTCAGATGAAACACTTGATAAATTAAATATCATGTCTGGGACAAAATGACGTAGGGGCTATAGAGGACCAATCGATCCTCAAAAGAAGTGGGGTTGCTGCTCCTCCCTTTTCCTTCTCTCCCCTTTTTCCTCTTTCATTTTTAGCACCTTACTAATATAACTATTTCCAAATCAGAATTTTGAATATTTTTATTCCTCTTTCATAAATTTGAAATTTCATTATAATCCCTTTCCTAAACTGAATTTCCAAATCAAATTTCTTAATATTTTATTCATATTTCCTAAATCTGAATTTCAATTATAATTTAAATTCTTTTATCAAATTTGAATCTGATTTTGCTCTCCTCATTTTTAAAGTCTTTCTTAAAATCTAAAATCTGATTTTATTCTCCTTTTTATTTTAGTGTTTCCTAATTGAGCCAAGTCTCTTTATAAATCGGAGTTGATGTGTCTAGAGTAAGGGGTTCTATTTTATATATATGAATTTAGGTTTTGGCCTTGGCATTTTCTCATCAAGGGTTGCATTAGACATCGAGCTCCGGCTGTAGCTCGACCCCAACGAGACATTTATCTTACCATACTTATGTTTCCCTACCCTCATTTTAGAATCCAGCCACTACTGCCCCTCTTTCAGTGTTGTCAGCCACTTTGCTCCCGTCCAGTCGCAACAACCCCTCCAACTTGTTTTCCAGCCCTTTCAGTTCCTTCTCAGCAGCCCGGTGGCACCCCCACAAGAACTACCTTGATGTTCAGACCTTTCTCATCGTTGTCAGTGCTTTCCCACTCATTCTCCACTCTCTAAAAGTGATGGTGAACCTTCCTAGCTGCTATTCTGCTTCTTCCATAGTAGCCCTCATCTCTCCAGCCTTCACCGCAGCCGTCGATCCAGCCTTCAACAACGTTCCTGCTTCTCTCGAGCTGTGGTTTGACGTCGTTACTATCTCTAACCCGCTGTCCTACTTCTTCCACAGCAGCTCCCACCTCTCCGGTCTTCACCGCAACTGCCAATCTAGCCTCCACTCGCCAAACTCTCTCATCACCAAGTGTGTTGCATCTTCTTTGTTGAGTCATTAGTTTTTTGTGTTGTCTTTCGTTATTTCGAGTCTTCGTTGTAACCTTATTTTAAGTCAGTAGTAAAATTGTGTCTTGCATCGTGATTTGGGTTAACTCTGGTATCATTTGATATCAGAGCTAGACCAACTCTAGTCCCATCCTAGGGTTTCTTGCATCCGCTCCTACCCAATCCCATACACCAAATTTTTTTCTCTTTCTTTTCGTTTATCTTTTTTTTCTTATCTTTCTTTGTTTCTCCTTTTCTCCTTCCACATATCCCAAACCATCAAACATGCCACTATGGAAAAGTATGGTCGAGCCTACCAGAGGCGAGATACGATGAGAGCTCTGCCGTTTTCAGCGAAGTCTTATGGATATTGAAGAGGAAACCCAGTGGGAGGTTACTCTCGATCGTGATTTGGAAGCACTAAGGGAAAACAAGAAAATATGTAGATGAAGCAAGAAACACAACACAAGTTCTTACCAACGTACTATTGCCTAAAGTTGTAGACTCTAGCTTTCAAAGTGAAGAGACCGCATCACCAACCAATCCCCCTTGCTACTATCCAGCAAAACCAATCCGCAAGTCTATCACAGCCAGAAGATGTTACAAGTGCTGCGGATTTAGACATGTTGAATTAGAATGCACAACCATATAAGTGATCTACTACATCACTGAGCAGGGTGTCATCAAAAAGTTGGGTGGAGACACCATAGACACTAAAGAACAGTTCGAAAGAGAATTTTAATCTGATGATGTCTTTCCTCGTGGAACTCCCTTTTATGTGGATACATTTAATGCCTTTTCTTCCAGATAATCAAAAGGAACTTGTGACTTTTGATGAGATTATGGTTCCTATTTTTCTAGAAGATGGATATATTTTTGTTGAGACTTATAAAGCTTACGCAGACCAGAAGATGTCAGAATTTAAAAATTCAGTAGACGATCTTAGTAACGACCAACTAATAGCACCACAAACGGCTATACTTCCAACCATCACCCCCAGTGTTTCATTTGAAGAGACAAAAGACTTGTGTGTTTGAAAAAATCGAGTTTCACCTGTTTTTTCAAAAGAAAACTATAGTAATAAATAGTGTTGTGCAATATGGCCCATAAAGCTATGTTCTAATTTTTTTTAATAAAAAAAAATTATAATATTCACTGCAGCTTTTTGAATGTCAATTTCTTCTATAACAGTTTCACAATTGTTTCTTCAAACAACTACAAGTGCCTCAAACATATAATAAGTACGAACAACAAATTAAAATCATTTTCTGATGGAAATTTTAACTATCTTGAGAGCCAAATTGCTAGGGGATGGGTCTAAATTAAAAAGTATTTACATCATGAATATACTATATATTAAATACTTGATATCAATGATGCTATTATGGATTTTCTTAATCGAATAAAGATTCATTTCAGATTGTTATTAAAAATAATAATATTGATATAAATATAGGAAGGGCATAAAATCACATTAGAAGAATTGCACATATCATTCACGTAGCATATAATTCTTATGCATTTACATATCTCATACCAAAATTTTTTAATTTTACAAAAACAACACCTAACCTACTGCCTATATATCAAATGTATATGTTAAGCGGCATTCTTGTAAAAATGAAGGTTTTGATATATGTAAATGCATAATAATTGGTATGTATGTAAATTCCCGGAAATAAAACAATAAAGCCAAATTTTAACTAAAATAGACAATATATTGACATTTTTGCGCTTCGTCTTGCATTTAAACTCGTCCCACTCGCTCTGTACGGTGTCATCTCAGCACCTCCTAGCCCTCGAGAATGGAGTTTCCTTTCGGGCCCCCCCCCCCCGCCATGACGAGCACCATCACAGCCCCGACGACGACGAAGATGAAAGAAACCGCTCTCCTCCTCATTTCCCTTCCCCAGAAGACGGTCCCGAACCCTTCCAACCTCCTCCCGGCGTCCACCACGTCTCCCATCAACCCGGGGCTGGGTTCACTCCTCCGCCACCGTTTTCTGAACCTCCGCCACCACCATTCTTCGATGCGCCGCCACCTCCTCGCCCTTCTCCCGTCGTGGACGATCCTTTCCATGACTCTCGACACGAAATTAAAAAAGAGGAGGGATGCCACCGCTCGGGATACTCCGATAATGCGAGCCATGAGGGGGAGGGTGGATCTCTCTATCGGCAGCCGACTGTGAGGGTGTTCACCAAGGCGGAGGAGAATTATTCGCTCTCGATTCGTGATGGAAAGGTTATTCTCGCGAGGCAGGATCCCAGCGATGAGTATCAGGCAAGGTTTTCAGGATTCTCTTTAATCCTGAACGAAACTTGGTTACTGTTTTTCTTAACTCTTCTCCGATGATTTCGGTTTTGGCTCTTTTGCCTTTTATGATTTTATTAGCGATTTATTATAGTTCTTGATTCCGTGGTGATCAAGTGGTCTTCCTTTGTGGCTTTTGGATCTTTTCTCCTTTGTCTCTACTTCTGAAATAGATTTTTGTGACCAATGATGAAACATTAAAACCCTTTGATCAGATTATGTTGCGCTTTCATGTCATCTTTTCTTTACTTCTTTGGGTTATTTATACTTCCATTTCTCATTTTCTTTGTGTTCAGCACTGGATTAAAGATCTGAGATACAGCACAAAAGTGAAGGATGAAGAGAGCTTCCCTGCTTTTGCTCTCATCAACAAGGCTACTGGTGAAGCTATCAAGCACTCCTCTGGAGCAACTCATCCAGTAAGCTTAATATTTCCCGTATAACTTGCTGATATCTTTGGAAGGCTTTGGATAGTGTATGAACTCATATTTTACATTCCATCTTCAGAAGATTCCATAATTCATACTCTGGTTAAAAAAATATATAAGATTATTGGGATTTGTTGCATTTTTAATAGATTTATTAGGTTTTGTGCAACCTAGTAATCCGTCAAACCAAGTAACAGTTAAGAGGGTTTCGGACTAGAAGAAATATGCTTCAGTATGCTGCAACCATGGTGGATTCATAAGGTTTTAAAAATCAACTAAGTGATATCTCATTAAAAGAATGTTGAGTAACATGTAGTTTTGAAAAAATATTCGGCCCTCCAATAAAAATTCGTAAAGTGTAAATGCGGGTCCGACCGATTAAAAAACAAAAAAAAATGTGTTTTTTCTTACTGCGTGACCCGGCTTGAATCCGCCTAAGTTTTTGAAAAAGCGCATTTTCTCATTTTTTTGCCTCGGCGGGACCCTTCGAAAAGGCGCATTTTGTCACGTTTAGGTTTTTTGTCGTGTTTTTCATTTGCGTATCCATCAACCAGGGTTTTCACGGCGATGGATGTCTCTCTCGACCAGGACCAGAAAATGATGATGGATTCTCGAAATATTGGCGAGAATTATGATAATGGGGTGAGTTTAGTTGCGCCTGAAATGTTGGTATTGCGACATTAATGGAGTGGGGATGTGGTGTTATTGCGGTATTTATTGTTTTGTTTTCCTCGTGTTATTAGAGGTTGCTTTGTTTTATTTCGATGTTATTCATGTTTTATTGTGGTGTTATTTATATATTATCATGGTGTTATACAAGTTTTATTCCGGTGTATTTCGGCATCATTCGATGTGTAATGTTACAATTTTATTGATGTGGTGTTATTGCGGCATTTCTCAGATGTTATTCTTATGTTATTGTTGTGTTTTTCTAGTGTTATTGGAGGTTAATTACTTTGTTTTATTGGAGTATTATTTTGGTGTTTTAATGGTGTTATCCTGGTGTTATCTATGTGCTATTTTGATTTTATTCCGGTGTTATTGTGGTGTTATTAGATGTGTAATACTACGGTTTTATTGAGGAGGGGATGTGGTATTATTGCTGCATTTTTATAGTGTTATTTCGATGATATTGTGGTGTTAATCCGATATTATTCTGGTGTCATTGTGTGATTACGAAGGTTCTAGTGGAATGTATTGGTTTTATTGAAATTTTACTATTTGATTGGTATTATTTTTATATCTAATAAAGTTTATTATGTTTTTTAAATTTGCAGTTTCCCGAGCCTAAAATTGTTTGCAATGATCCAATTCCAGACAGTTTTCTTCGCACGGTTGTCCATAATGAGAATGAAGCATATGAACAATATTGTGCTTATGCACACCATATTGGATTTACTGTTCGAAAGGACCACAGTAGTTTTTGGCCGAATTCGAAGAACATTAAGACGAAAGACTTCATTTGTGGTAAGGCTGGTTACAAAAGAGAGCCGAAGTTCAATAACACAGTGAAGTTCAAAAGAGCAGACACGAGGACTGGTTGTCTAGCCATGATTCGATATGTCGTTGATGTTGAAGGCAACTGGTCAGTTAAGAAATTTATAAAAAGTCATAATCATCCCTTGGCGAAGTCTGGTGATAGGCATCTCTTGCGTTCCAACAGAAAGATAATTGAAATTAATGCAAAAAGGGACATTTATAACAACTCTAGATATAGACATCTCGAGAAGACACAAATGTTATCAAGTTCTTCAAGTGACCTCATATTTATCACACAAGTTCAAGAACTTGCATATCAAATTATTACTAAAGCAGCAGGAAATGAACAGGCTGAGAATTACGTGTTGGAGTCATTTAAGAAATTATCAGTTGATATCGATGACATATTGAATGGGAGAGAACCTCAGTCAAAGCAAAAATCAAATAAGAAAAAAATATTGAATAAAGAGCGCAATTTGAATGACCCAACGAAGATGCAGCCAAACGGAATATCTAATTCTAAGTTAAAAGAGTATTGGGAGAAAAACAAGAGAATAAAAAGTATATGTTTTCTATATTCATGAACATGTTTTCTTATATATAATATTATTATTCTCTAACATGAAACATGGTATGCAGGAAATGAGAAAGAGGCTTGTTCAAGCCAAGATCCAGTTCTTCTATGCGACCCATTGTTTGCAATGTCGGATTGTCTCAGTCAGGTAAATATCTAAAATTCAAAACCATGTTTTTTTTTTTTTTTTGTTACATCTTCCCCTATGTTCACTTGTAATTACTCAAAATTAGCAGAATTTATCTTACATTGCATCCCATGGAAGCATATACGAGCATGTTGATGGATTTAGATGATGATATATAATTCCCTAAAAAACTTCTTATGTACGAGTTTTATTTCAAATAATTGTTTTCGCTTAGGTTAAAAATCTTTGCTGGATTTATAAGATTTTTTTCCTTATTCTTGTTGAACCATTGGTGCAAGTGGATAAATTTATTTAAATCTATAAATCTGTAAGCTATCATGTTCGTCATGCCAGCTTTTCTAACAAGTTGTGCATTTGTTGGAAGAATTGGTTTAAAGTTAATATTAAATTAACCATAATTAATTTGTTGCATACTTTTACTTCTTTCCAGCAATCCTTTATTTTATGAATTCATATTGATGCTAGTTATTCTAAACAAATTAGAAGAGACATTTGTGATCAACTTAGATTAGTTTGTGGTACTATCATTTATTCATGGGTGTGGGTGGTGATTTTATTGTGCTTAATTATTCTAATGAAGATTTAAGAGCGATCATCTTAGCTTTATTGGCCAAAACATGTGGTTTTCTCATGAGGTCTATTTTGAAACTTTGGCTTCTTATTGGAAGGTTGCCTTAGCACCTGATAGTAATGTTTTTTATTTAAGGAGATTATGATTTAAATTCAATAGATTAAAAGTGTACCAAGGTGTAATCAAACTAGAACAATCCAAGGAATATAACAATTCTAATTGTAGTGAAAGAGTTATTCTCAAGGCCAACACTAATATTCTCAAGCTTGCAGATTTTTTAAGAAAGGGAATAAAAATAGTAAATATGTTTAGTCTTTGATTAAAGAATTATTAATCATAAAGTCAAGTGAATTATCGCCATTAAGGAGAATATCTCTAACTTTGAGTTTATAGGCCAAAACATGTGGCTTTCTAATGAGGTTTATTTTGAAACTTTGGCATTTTAATTGGAATGCTGCCATAGCCTCTGATAGTAGTGTTTTTTATTTATGTAGATTATGATTTAAATTCAATAGATTAAAAGTGTTTTACCAAGAAGTAATCACACTAGAACAATCTAAGGAATATAGCAATTCTAATTGTAGTGAAACAATTATTCTCAAGGCCAACGCTAATTTTCTCAAGCTTGCAGATTTTTAAGAAAGAGAATAAAAATACTAAATTTGTTTAGTCTTTGATTAATTAAAAAAAGAATTATTAATCATAAAGTCAAGTATTTTATCGCCATTAAGGAGAATGTCTCCAACTTTGAGTTTATAGGCCAAAACATGTTGGAATGCTTTCTTATGAGGTTTATTTTTAAACTTTGGCTTCTAATTGGAATGTTGCCTTAGCCCCTGATAGTAATGTTTTTTATTTAAGGAGATTATGATTTAAATTCAATAGATTAAAAGTGTACCAAGGTGTAATCAAACTAGAACAATCCAAGGAATATAACAATTCTAATTGTAGTGAAAGAGTTATTCTCAAGGCCAACACTAATATTCTCAAGCTTGCAGATTTTTTAAGAAAGGGAATAAAAATAGTAAATATGTTTAGTCTTTGATTAAAGAATTATTAATCATAAAGTCAAGTATTTTATCGCCATTAAGGAGAATATCTCTAACTTTGAGTTTATAGGCCAAAACATGTGGCTTTCTAATGAGGTTTATTTTGAAACTTTGGCATTTTAATTGGAATGCTGCCATAGCCTCTGATAGTAGTGTTTTTTATTTATGTAGATTATGATTTAAATTCAATAGATTAAAAGTGTTTTACCAAGAAGTAATCACACTAGAACAATCTAAGGAATATAGCAATTCTAATTGTAGTGAAACAATTATTCTCAAGGCCAACGCTAATTTTCTCAAGCTTGCAGATTTTTAAGAAAGAGAATAAAAATACTAAATTTGTTTAGTCTTTGATTAATTAAAAAAAGAATTATTAATCATAAAGTCAAGTATTTTATCGCCATTAAGGAGAATGTCTCCAACTTTGAGTTTATAGGCCAAAACATGTTGGAATGCTTTCTTATGAGGTTTATTTTTAAACTTTGGCTTCTAATTGGAATGTTGCCTTAGCCCCTGATAGTAATGTTTTTTATTTAAGGAGATTATGATTTAAATTCAATAGATTAAAAGTGTTTTACGAAGAAGTAATCAACCTAGAACAATCTAAGGAATATAACAATTCTAATTGTAGTGAAAGAGTTATTCTCAAGGCCAACACTAATATTTCCAACCTTGCAGATTTTTTAAGAAAGAGAAAAAAAATACTAAATATGTTTAGTCTTTGATTAATTTAAAAAGGAATTATTACTCCCACTATGAAATCTTATGATAATCAATGGATTGAGAGTGATCAATGGACTATTAATTCTATTTAAGGAGATTATGATTAAAAAATGTTGGCAAATTATCAAATATGATGTGTTTGATGCTATTACTAGTTCCTCTCTTATTCTCATCATAAGATCAATAACTCTTAAAATTGGAATCAATTAAAGTCTATTAGTCTTTGCAATATTTTTTAATAAACTTATCACTTAACTCCTAGCCTCACGACTTGCTAAACACCTCACAAAATTATCTCCCCCAATCAAATTGTGTTTGTTATAGGTAGATCAATATCTACTAATGTTAAAGGTATTCCCTTCCTAAGCCCTCTTCAGGTAAAGATTTAGATAGATGACTTTTCAAATCAAGAAGAGCTCTATATAATTCACCTAAACTTATTTGTTCAGTGCTTCTGTTATAAAACTTGTGGTCATAGTGTGATTATTAAGCTAGATATATTAATAATTGAGGTGTTTTTGTTAGGTTAAGTAGGTATTTTTTAATATCACAACATAGACAACAATATTTCACTCAAAGAACACCACAATAACACCACATCACCCGCAAAACAACCTAAATAATACCACAAGAAAACAAAAACACCACCAATATACCGCGGGTTATTGGTGTTGTTCAAAGGTGTTATTGGCGTGATTAGTCGGCGATTTTAGTATTATTGAAGTGATACCGCAGTATTACGGGTGTTTCTCGTGTGTTGTTGCGGTATTATTGATTATATTGAGCCATGTTATTGGTGTTTATTTCCGCAGTTTGTTGGACTGGTTCGTCTTATTATTAGCGTTGTTTTCCGGTGTTATTGGAGTTTTTCTGTGGTGTTGTTGGCGTTGTATTTCAATGGTATTGTTGTTTTCCGTGGTATTATTGGAGTTATCTGCGGTTCTCTTGGCATTATTTTCGGTGGTATTAGTGTTTTCCACAATGTTATTGGAGTTTCCGCGGTGTTATTGGAGTTCTTTGCAGTGTTATTGGCAATGTATCGGTGGTATTAATGTTTTTCGCGGTAATATTGGAGTTCTCTGTTTCCTTATTGGCATTTTTTTCGGTGGTATTGATTTTTTCCGCGGTGTTATTGGAGTTATCTGGTATTATTGGCATAGTTTTACGGCTTTATTTTGAAAAAATAATGCCAATAACAACGCCGCATAAAAAACGTACCAATAACACCTCGATTTTGAATTGTTTCAGTGGTGTTATTTAGATATTATTGTAGTATTATTGAATTGTTATTGACGTGTTCTTGCGGTGTTATTGGAGGAAAACCACAGCGTTATTAGAATGTTATGGCATTTAAGTTATTGACGTTCTTGTACGGTGTTATTGGAGTCGTTTTGCGGTATTATTGACGTTGTAACATATTGTAGTTTTTATTTTTCAAATATTTGATTTTAATTTGGAACATTTATTTTTACGATGTTAAATTTCATTTTCAAATTAATATTTTAAATTTATAAAAAAGAACATGGCATTTACTTATAGACCACCCAATTCTTATCTATTTCAATATCTAACACCTAAACTTTGTTTTTATATGTTTTACAACTCAAAATCATTCATATCAGGAGTAATATTATTATTTTAACTTTAAACAAATGGAGTATATATTTTAACATTTTTATAGCAAAATTATACATAAAATCTTCATATATTATATAAATATTTTCTTAATCAAAATGCTTTAATCTCTCACGTGCCTAGAGGTGTAAACGAGTCTATTCAAGCCTCGGAAACTCTTAGTTTGAGTTTGATTAAATCTACAAGTTGAGTCAGCTTGTTTTTTGCATAAGCAAAAATATTATTTTAATTTTAGATAGAATTAGAATAAATGACAAATAGGACGAGCAATTATGAGAAAAAAAAGAAAATATTAATTAATAAAAATGCAAATTATTTTTTTCAAATATGTTTTTTAATAATATCCCATTAATATATTTGTTTCCTTCCGATAACACTGCCGCATAAAAAAAGTCCACGATAGCACCCCGACTTCCATCCAATAACACCGCAAAACAACTTTAGTAACACTGAAATAATATTGCAAAATTACGCCATTAACGCTGCCGCAAAACCTCGCCAATAACATCTCAATAACTCTCAAATAACACCGCTTCACAATGCCAATAACACCACAATATTATCATAAATACCGCCGCAATAATACCACTGCAAGAAAACACGTCAATAACACATGTTTTCATTCAATAACACCAGAAACCCATGTTAATAACACCCTAAAAATTTCGCAATAACATCGCATAAACTCTCGAACAACACCGCAAAACTACGAAAATAATACCTGAATAATACCAAAAAAACAATCTAATAACAACGCCGCATAAATTCCATGCCAACAACACCTTAGTTTCATTCCATTAACACAAAACCACGGTAAATAATATTGTTGAATAAAAAAACGGTATTATTGACATAGCCTTACGGTGTTATTTTACAAAAAAGCACCAATAAAAACGCAACATAAAAAACGCGTCAATAACACCTCGATTTTGAATTGTTTCAGCGGTGTTATTGAGATATTATTACAGTGTTATTGAGCTGTTATTGGCATGTTCTTGCGGTGTTATTGGAGGAAAATCGCA